CAGTAATGCGCTGCATCTGTGGTACACCGATTAACAGCTGAGCGATGCTAAGGAACGGCAAATGCCGGTGAGAACCATTCACGTGACCACACAGCTTATGACATGCAAGCACAACTGACAGCCACATTTTTCATTGGACAAACTTAGTTTAGTCTTATGCCTTACCCAGAGTATATAAATTAAGATTAATTACTTTAAATATTACTATTGGAAAGTGAAGAGACTTTTAACCAGCACAAAAAAAAAAAAAAAAATTCTAATGACAAGCACCTAATGCACCTTTATCAAATCAGGAGCTAGCTCTATTAAAGGCGTGATTATGACATAGCAGCTGTAGTTGGTGTCTCGGTCAGGCCAACAATGTTTTTTTTTTTTTTTTTTTTTTTTTGTAAATGGAGCAGTTTTCAGAACATTGTTCATTCAGAACATGAGTGTACTCTACAGCCAGTGTCACAGTAGTGTTTAAGATGACGTAATGGGTTACAACCAAAAAAAAAAAAAAAAACATTCTGAACAAGCAGCAACTGTTGAGTCAAATCTGTAATACCCACAGTTTAACTAATGACAGGTGTTTTTTAAGGATAAAACATGAGTGAGATCCATACGTGAGGGCCTCATAAAGCAGAGACTAGAAATGTGTGTTTTTGGACTTAACATATTGATTGATATGTATTAATAAATAAGCTATCAGTTTCCATTTAAAGAGGCAGATTTCTTAAGAAAGCGACCAGTCAATCAACACGTCTTTTTCAAGACACTGGTCTGACTGTGCATTTCTGGATGCAGTGTTTTCTACCTCTGGATGATGTGCACAGGTACCGCATGACATGTCTGGGGGTCCAGTTTGACGATGCAGTGCCCGTGGACAGCTCATGCTTTTCACTGTAAGGTTGTGGCTGTTGCACAGCCTGGATTGTGGCTTTAGCCGCTCCCGTTGCTCCCCGTGAAAGCGGTTAGCACAGGGGCAGATCTGAGGATCACAGTGGGAGTTTATCCATCGCCTCTGGGACCGCGGACTCCCCACTCCTCCACAGCACCCCCCATCCAAGCTTCGGGTGGTTGTGCGGTTCCCCCAGGATGCCCGTGCCTCCGCTTAATAACACCGGAGGTCCATCGCGATATCGGAGGGTGAGCTGTTATGCTCAGATGACAGATCGGGCTCTCTTCCATCCTACGGGGTGCAATGTGCGGTTACGATTCTCGAATCAGACATAATGGCTGTGGTTCCTGGGCTGTTTTTGGCAGTGCGGCTGGAGATGGCTTGTCCCACAGTATTACCGCCGGACCGACCAGAGGGTGTGATGTGCAGGCTTATGTAAGATGAATCTTCCAGCCCCTGTCCCCTTTTTCCCAGGATGCACAGCAAGTACACTGGCATAGAAGACGTTTTTATCTGCCCTTTTCACAGTGACTCCGGTAAAAAGTAACTGACTTGCTGAATAAGCCTTTAGACATTTATTCAAACAACTAGTTCAAAAGGCTGATTCATTCATATACAAAGTGTGCAACGGGGGGGGGGGAGCTGTTCGGGCTCTCCCTGTTTCCATGCGTGGAGAATAACCTGTGCCTCTTTGCCGCATACACATCTGCATTTTTGATTATTCATTGACTGTTATTATTTTTAGGTCTCTGAACCAAGCGATTATGCACAGGGACCTCGACCTGTTCGGGTTTTGGGTCATCTTGGGTTGGAGCTGGACTCTGTCTGCATCACGGTGTGCTTTTAGCGCACTGGGCTGGCGCTGCTCTGTCCAATTAATTTGGCTGTTATAGTGGTCTCACTGAAATTATTCAGAGGCTCCTGGGGCAAATGAATTTGTAGCCGCTATCACGCCGCTCAATTGTTCATACGTATGAGACCAATTCATCGATGGCGTCGCGATCAGGTCCCCAGATGGGCATGGTGCGCGGAGACTCATCGTTTGTACATCACCACGTTGTTTCCCTGCACCTTCAGCCCCTGGTTGGATCTTGCCTTTTACAGGCCTAAGTGCCCTAAGAAAAAGTGTCCAGTTATGCTTTCATTTTGACAGATGCTTCCAGTATGGGCTGACGGGCTGTTTATATTAAGCAGGTTCGTAATGCCGATGGCTCTCAGCTGGCCCCGGTTTACGCAATGTGCTTTTTTTCCCTAGTGAGCCTGCTCGCACAGACAATGTGCAAGGAGCGGGTCTTGCTCTTTGCGCCTCTCTGGGCCAACTAGACCAAAGTTTCCGGACTCACACTCCTCATCATGGCCCTTCCTGATAAATTCTCCGGTAAAATACTTCAATTTTTCTGGGATGGGCACCCATGCAGGGCTCTGGAACCTCCTTGGATTGTTTCTAGACATAGCGCGATAGAGAGGTGACCTATCAGTGTGATAGTTAACAACGTCACTCAGGCTAGAGCTCTCTATTAGGCATACCTATGTTCTGCAGTGGCCTGGAGTCTATTTGTTGTGAGGAAATTTTCTCTGAGAAAACCTCCGGACATGCCAGATCTCTCAGCGCCTCTTAAACAGATCATGTAGAGCTGCAGGCTGGGCGACATCTAACACATTCTTGAGATTACATCCTTGAGTGGAGTAAGTTTCCTCCCTATTAGTGGTTTCCCTAGTCAATCAGGAGGAAATTAAGCTCGGTGTCAATAAACGCTTGCTACGCCAGGCTCTAACTTAGAGATGCATGCGCATTTTCTATTTTACTAGTAAGTTTCCCTTATTAGGTGAACCCTAGAGAATTCCTCCGAGGCCCCCACTACCTGACTCAGTGGAGGAGTCGAGTACATGGCTCAGTGTGTTGTCTGGTCTACCCGCATACTGAGGATCATGCCAGCTATGCGCCATGGTGTGTTCCCCCTTATCAGGCAGACCCATTTCTTCCCTAACCGCTAACCAGCTTATCATATGTAGCACTCCCCCTCATTAGGGCTAGTCCATATGCTTTATCACCATCAAGTCTCCCCCTCTGGGTAGCAGGTGGTCTCTGCAGCATCCTCCCCCTTCGTGGACTGGCATGCTTTCCCACCGTATTGTCGTATTTCTAAAATCCCTAGTCTATATATTAGCTAGGTAAAAGCACATTTACGACCCCCAATCTAAATTCTTATTATTACCATGGAATGGTAATATTTTGGGCCTTGGGGACGTTGGAAGGTTGCGCTTTTGGAACTGCACATCAGGAGCGTGACGGGCTTGGCTGCTGTGGCGTTTTCCATACAGGAGTTCCCTTTTGAAGGGGAACGTTCTGGTTACGTTCGTAACCCACATTTCCCGAATAGAGAACAGAGACGTGTGTCTCCACTGCCACAGCACCTGAGTCTCCAACTGGGAGCTGAGTTATCGGCTCTTTAGCAGGCAAATTCTGAGGAGCTGACTCCAACAGCCGACTGATACAGCGTTGATGAGCTCATCAGTTTCAGCTGTGGAGCTTCAATTGGCATTTCATTGGCCGGTTTTCAGAAGTGATTGGTCATCTTTCACACTCCCAAAAGTTTATAAACAGACACATGTCTCCATTCCCTATTCGGGGAACATGGGTTATGAACGCAACCAGGACGTTCTGTTTATTAATTTGAGAAATGTCACTGTGAAAAGAGAGCAATGTCGCCAAAGCAATGACCTCACTGAAGGCTTCTAACCTGAGCTCGGCTGCTGGTCAGCAAGACTGGCTAAGGCTGAACAATATTTTTTAGATCAGAAGATGTGTAGAAAAGGAAGAAAAATAAGAGTTTGAGAGCGTGTAAAGATGGAAAAACTATGGATTTTGTGTAACTGGCACACTGGTCATAAGACATAAGACAGATATGTCATCTTCATCATAAGACAGATGTGTCATCTTCCAATAAAAGTCACAGTGATGTCAGTGGTTCTTTGAATTTTAGAAACGGAACATGAATTCATCATCCCTGTGGATGATAAAATTATTAAACAGCCTATGATTGATGTTGAGGAAGATAATAGGGTAATGTGTAGTTGTGAAGCAGTGTGTATGAAAACAGCATGGATCAAGGTGACAAGTTAGTCAAAATACATGCCTTTTACAGTAAAGGTGGTTAACTTAATGCTGGAACATTGTGTTTTCTGTCATATGATGATGATTTTGTTTACAAGATTCATGTCTATGGCATTTCTTGCCAAATATGGGTTTTATTTTAACTAAATTTTTAACTATTGATATCTCCGTTAAGACTTCTTTAACAATGTTAAAAATGTAGCACCTCTGTTCAAACTTTCAGATTTGAGTAAATCTTTGTAAAAGTGCCTTTTGAAATATTTATATAAATAATTTTCATTTTGTGTATAATGTATAATTATATAATGTTTTAATATGGAAATTATTCATAATTTCAAGTTATATTTATTGTAATTAAGGTACACTTTTGTACCTTTTTTATGAGAACAATTGTGTACCTTCATTTCAGTTGTACCATAAAAGGTACAGAACAGTACCATAAGAGGTCTTTTCTGTACCATATAAGGCACAACTTTTACAAACTGTACAAAACTGTTTCTTAAGGAACATTATTTGTACCACCGTGTACCTTTTTTCTGAGAGTGCAGGGAGCAAATAAAAGAACATGTTTATTATTTGAGTATCCTTCTGAAGTCTGTAGTTGTCAAAGCAAAAGACTTTCCTGTTTGCCCTGTTTTTCAGCTGACTCGAGTGCATGCAGAATGTCAAACTGAAAATTAATCTGTATACAGGAGCAACTTTATACCGCATTAGTGATTCACTTTGGTTCTATTTGCTTTTGATGTGGCTTACAAGGTGTGGGCAATTGTCATTCATGTAACTGTATATGTTCTTCATTCCTAATTGAAGTTTTTGTAGCTTGATTAAATGTTCTTATAAAGAGGACATATAATAAGCTATGAGAATGTTTTAATCATATACAGAGACCACAAATGTTTGAAGCTATCAAATCAATTTGATTTACTTATGTTTTGACCCCTTTAAATGTTGCGTTTGTATGTTGAGTTTGTTACTCAGTTTTACTAAGCAGTTTTGTCTTTCCAGGCTCACTATATTAAGGCTACAGCACTCAGGAGTGCTGGTAGCAGTGAAGAGGCTCTGCAGGAGTATTTATTCTGTGCGGCTTTGAAACCTGACTGGATTGCTGTAAAACTGGAGGCTCAGAAGGTACGTTTAGTCTTTCATTTGCATACATCAGCCTTTTTGGGATGATTTTATTATGACTTGATTCCTACCTTGATTTTATTAACATTTAACCGTTTACAGCTGATTCTTGCTAGTGATTAACTGACATTATGCTCAGCCAATTCTGATCATTTATCCTTCGCAAAAGTTATACAAAAGCCTTCTGTTGAACGTTTCTATTATTTGTCATACAAATTTAAATTTAAATTATGATTTCAATATCAAACTAAAATCTACCAGTAGGAGGCAGCAAGTAACTGACTTGCTGAATAAGCCTTTAGACATTTATTCAAACAACTAGTTCAAAAGGCTGATTCATTCATATACAAAACTAATAAATCATTTAAAGAATGGGTCACAGGTTTGTGTAATTTGTTAAAAAAATTGTAAATCTGGGGGCATTCATGGACAAAGCATGGCATAAGTGTAGTTCTGACAAACTTATTTTGACAATAATTTCAATTTCAACTTATTTCAACAATAATTGCAAATATACTATACTCCTGTTTCTCTAACAGTCACATTAAGAGAAACTCTGAAAATCTTGTATGACAGAACTGAGAATCCCTGACTTGGCAGGAAAGGAATTCTTCAACCAACATGGTGAAATGGTCATTCAGGGGTGTGTGTTTTCCAAAACCATTGTTAGCCAACTCAGGTCTTGCAAACTTAGGTGTCACAAACTTGTGCACTTGCAACTACACCTCTGGAGCTGTACTCAAAAACATAGTTCCTGGCTTTGTTTTTCCCACTTATCCCTCCATGGCCTATTCATTTAGAACATTCTGACATTTAAACTTGGAATGTTTAAAAAAAAAAAAACAAAAAAAAAAAAACATTAAAGTCATCTCTCTTTGGTTTCAAAGTATTTTTACAGTTCAGTTTTAGCGATTTGTGCTCTTCGCAGTGCACTTTAAAAACATTGATGTCATATTGAACACAGCCTCATAACGAAAGCTGTAGGTGACCTATTATTTAAAAGCAGAATTTATTTTATGTCTCCAAAGCTTGTGAAAACAAAAAGACAGCATAGATTAATGTTTTTAAGTTATAGTAGATTATTTATTAAGTATCTGTACTGTATTTGACATGGGTCTGTTGGTTGTCAAATTGTAAAAATATACTTTTCAAAAAAACAAACAAACAAATAAACAATATCCTACTTAATAATAATAATAATCATCATCATCATTAATATTATTATTAAAGTAGGATTTTTTTCATTTCCTAATAAATAATAAATATCAAATTTAATTTCTTAATAAATAGCTTCATTATTTATTTATTTATATGATTTTTATATGAGTAGGCTGACACGGAATCTGCACGTGCAAAATTCCGCAGATTTTCTGCAGAATTCCGCAGATTTCTGCAGATTTTTAGCCCATCATTAATTCTGCTTATTTACTTGAGTAAATGTGTAAATCTGAATTTATTCAGTTTTTATTTAGTAATTTATAGCTTTTTATTTCATATATTAAGGTTTTAGTTATGATACTCTGCTGGATACTCCCAAAATAATTCTGCAGAAATCCGCAGATTTTTACCAAAATTTTCTGCAGAAATAGCAAAAAACATCCGCAGATTCCGTCTGGCCCTGTATATGAGATGAGAATATGTGTTCGCTTTTGGATGTGTTTTTATGTTTTAGAATAGAATATGTAATGTTCTTGCATATTTTATTGAACTCTAAACGAGTGCATGTTTTTAGCAAAACTAATATTGGATTTTTTCCCAGAGATTGGTTGCGGATGGATGGGCATCCGCTGCGTAAAAACGTGCTGGATAAGTTGGCGGTTCATACCGCTGTGGCGACCCTAGATTAATAAAGGGACTAAGCTGACAAGAAAATGAATGAATGAATGAATAATATTGAAATTTTTAACACGTGTGCGTGTAAAACAATATAATTTGCACAAGGAAATGATAGGGTTTTTTCTCTAAAGAAGTAATTTTTCCACACCGTTTAGAGCATCATTATGGGCGTTTTACATTATAACTAACATGGTTCAAACCATGGATCTGCAAAAGAGAAACTATAGGCTTTGGGAAGCACTTGTCACTACATCATTCTTTTTCCAACCTATGCATGGTACTATGATTGTATGATTGAGTTATGTTGTTGTTTGGGAAATGCACCCCTGAGCATAAATTGCCTTGATTATACAATCTGAAATAAAAGTTTTGGCAAAGGAGTTGGACAAAGTCACATGAAATGAAATAGCAAATAACATGATAGCTACAATAGTTATCCAACTTTATAGTTGGATAAAGTTAATATTAAAATTACTGTTCACAATCACTATTTTCAATAATATTCTTCAAATTTTAACGAAAGCGCAACAAATCTCATTGCTGAAAATCTTCCAATTTCACTGCAAAGGCTTCAAAAGCTAGAGCAAGATATGCATGGGTGATTATACTAAAATAAACCAAAACTGAAATTAATTTATTTTTCTGAGATTCAGAAAAGCTCAATTTCTATCACCAGCATAATTTCTCCTGATCGTTTTTTTTTTTTTTTTTTTTTAACATACTACTGTGTGTGAACAGACGGTGGAGAATTTCACTGACAGTACAGTGAGTGCCTTATTCAAATTCCTGGCAATCTGATCTATATACTAAGGGTGTTCGGTTCCGGGTTTTTTGGAGTCGACTCCAATTATTGACTTCTAATTTTGGAGGCAGTAGAATCGACTCCGTAATCGACTCCAATTACGTTCACATAAAATAGCACATAGATTAAACATGCAGTGTCACATCGCGCTTTACACAATGCTACTGCTTCATTGTGCAGTTCTCCTCTGGTCAGACAAAACCAGCAGTAAATCATCTGAAGTCAAAAAAATAATTATCAACCTATACTTTCTTACAGCATATTTTAATTGTCTAGTTTAGTTAACTTAGACAATTACATAGCAATCTTGGAGACAGAAAGTTAAAGCAGCTTATTATGAGAATGTTTAATGGAAAAATTATTAGCAGTTCAAAGAATAAAAAAACTTATATAAATTATTAATTATAAAAAAATTATGTAGAATAGTCTAAATATCTTCTTAATATAAATGGCTAATACTTGAATACTGAACCGAGACAATGAAATATTTTGCGGTTGTTTATTTCTTTATTTTCTGACGCTCCAGGCGATCAAATAAACAAAATAGTTCGCTTTTTTGATTTATTGACCAATTAAATATAACACCCCATGCAAAAAATATTTAACTTAAATAATTCATAGGCCTACATTAAAAAACCTAAAATAAAAAATAAAAGCAGCATGACAAAGCTGTGCCTTAAAGTATATCAAATTGCTCTCTCTCTCTCTCTCTCTCTCTCTCTCTCTCTCTCTCTCTCTCTCTCTCTCTCTCTCTCTCTCTCTCTCTCTCTCTCTCTCTCTCTCTCTCTCTCTCTCATAAATGTGTACTTTTAAATAGCTCATTACTTTACTATTAAATATCCCTGTTTGTTTTGTGCAATTTGTTCATTATTGTAAATTAATAATTGTAAATTAATGGTACGGCATAGTCTACACGCTCAAGAAAAGAGCGAGTCAGACCTAGTTTTTGAACATTTAACCTCTGCTATACTTTTATTTAAAAGTCCTCTTTTGGAAATGAATTTTGTTCAGTGTAATTCTGATGTATTTTTGTAGTAATTAAAATAAACAGAAGAAAGAATTAGAGGTGAAATTAAGTGTGTTCAGGGCCAAAACAAAACCACGACCACAAATATTGTTAGATTTTGTGACAATAAATTAATCCTGGCCATATTTGTCATTATGATTAGTGTTTTATTTTTTCATTTATTTTTTCATGAAATATGCGTAGGTTAAATAAATGATTAACTTGAGCATATAGCAGCACCCAATAGTCTAATGTAAGATCATGGGCCTTATCATACACCCGGCGCAATGTGGCGCAAGGCGCGACACAATAGTTTTTTGCTAGTTTCAGCTTGGCGCAAGAGTGGTTTTGAGGCGTTGCGCCACGCTGTTTAAATAGAAAATGCATTTGTGCTCATGTGTGCCCATAGGCGTTCTGGTCTAAAAAGGAAAATGTTCTGAGGCGCATTACTGGCACGTTGCTATTTTGAGAAACTATAATAGATTTTTTGAATAGACCAAAACAAATCCGGTCTAAAGTCCAGCGCAGCGTTGTGCCTCGCTTACACACTGCTTAATACACACAAGATTTAGAGCAATACGCAATTATCTTTCTACATGAAAAAAATTTATTATTAAGGAGATATATATATATATATATATAGGATATACATATATAGGATATACATATAAAGGATTAAAATATTACAAAACATATTATTTTCTAGCCTATATAAATATGAAAAACCACTGCTTTTATGCCTTCTTCATCTCGGAAGGCCTTTCCAGTTCATTCATAACAATTTGCTTTTGTATAATGTTATTATTATTAGCAGTATTATTTATTATATGCGTATTTATATTTGTTTTATTAAAAACAAGCTTAGATTTACCCACCTGCAGGTTTTAGACCATATCGGGCACAGCATGTGTTTTAGGATATAACTCAGGTTTTTGAACACACTTCGTTATTATTGTTCATTTATTCGTTTGCTGGAAATTAGAACTGAATTTAGTAATAGTTTTGAAACAAATATTTGCGCTTAACAAACGAAATTAATTATTTAGAGGCTAATTGATGACTGTGCGTAAAGGTTTCCCTATCCGCGAAAGTGAAAGTAGATCATTTATCTGTCATTCTTGCACGGTAGATGCTCTGTTTAACTGTTTTCCTGCAAATGAAATGCTCAGTTTTTCCACTCACACTTACTTTACGTCATGTAAATAGCAAATGCTCTTATGGCGCAATGCAACTGACTCTTAAAGGGATCGGGAGATGATACTCTGAATAACTCAACCCTTTTAGACCATGCGCCACAGCACAAAGCAAATTTTTCCATCCTTATATTAGTAAAAATGCATTCTGACACGCCCTGAAAGT